GCGAACGGCAGCCTCCTCACTTCAACATAGACTCACAGACTAGTTTGGGTCGCAAGGGACCTTTAAAGATCATCTAGTCCAACCTCCCTGCCATGGACATCTTTCACTAGATCAGGTTGCTCAAAGCCCCATCTAACCTGACCTTGAACACTTCCAATGATGGGGCATCCGCAACTTCCCTGGGCAACCTGTTCCAGGGTCTCACCACCCTCATCGTAAAGAATTTCGGCACCCTGTTCCAGGGTCTCACCACCCGCATCGTAAAGAATTTCTTCCTTATATCCAATCTAACCTCTACCCTCTTTCAGTTCAAAACTGTTGCCGCTTACCCTCAGGCTCTGGTAAAAAGTCTCTCTCAGTCTTTCTTATACACCCCCTTTGTATAGTGAAAGGCTGCAAGAAGGTCTCCCCAGAGCCTTCTCTCTTCCAGGCTGAACAACCCCAACGCCTTCAGCCTTTCTTCATAGCAGAGGTGTTCCAGCCCTCTGACCATTTTCATGGCCCTCCTCTGGACCTGCTCCAGCAGGTCTGACATGGTGGGCTCCTGTGCAGGCAAATACCTTGTGTTACTTAAAGGGAAGATTATACTGGTTTCTCATTAGTCTCATCTAGTCCAACCTCCCTGCCATGGACATCTTTCACTAGATCAGGTTGCTCAAAGCCCCATCTAACCTGACCTTGAACACTTCCAATGATGGGGCATCCGCAACTTCCCTGGGCAACCTGTTCCAGGGTCTCACCACCCTCATCGTAAAGAATTTCTTCCTTATATCCAATCTAACCTCTACCCTCTTTCAGTTCAAAACTGTTGCCGCTTACCCTCAGGCTCTGGTAAAAAGTCTCTCTCAGTCTTTCTTATACACCCCCTTTGTATAGTGAAAGGCTGCAAGAAGGTCTCCCCAGAGCCTTCTCTCTTCCAGGCTGAACAACCCCAACGCCTTCAGCCTTTCTTCATAGCAGAGGTGTTCCAGCCCTCTGACCATTTTCATGGCCCTCCTCTGGACCTGCTCCAGCAGGTCTGACATGGTGGGCTCCTGTGCAGGCAAATGCCTTGTGTTACTTAAAGGGAAGATTATACTGGTTTCTAATTAGTCAATGAGGGGAAAAGTCAATTTTATGCTTAGGAGAGCACTGTTAATGAACATCTGGGTAATGGTCTGATTGACTGCAAAGCCAGTCTGCCTTGGAGCTGGAGGCCGGATGGTTACCCAAGGCAAAACCATCCGGCAGGGCCTGTGTGGCTGTGGTACCCTTGTTTACTGTCACGGGAGAGTCTCTGTGTGTGCGTGGGCGGTATCGGGCCCGCTCGCTATGCGGCATCACAGCCGGGCTGCACGCTGAGCACATGCCGAGCAAGAACGGCAGCCCCAACAGTGGGAAGCAGCTCGTTTGTACCTAGTTTGCCAACGCGGTGCTAGACTGTCTCAGCGTTTCTGCTTCTCAGCTGAGGCAAACCCTCTGCTGCTTGGCTGTTGGCAAGGCTAGCTGTTGCTCTGCTTCCTCCCTTCCCATATGGTGGCTTGTTTAAAAATAAGACATTTACAAAGAGCAGAAATTGTAAAAGTAGGCTATCCAGAGGGGGATTTACAGTAAATGCTAGATGAGGTAGTGTGCCTAGGTTGCAGTGAGGGCTCAACTTCAGGTTACTTACACACCCATAGCGGTAAAAACCTAGAAGTATGCTGGGTCCCCGGCTGGCCATGGCTTACTGTGGCAGAAGTCCAACTCCTGCAACTATTCCTCACTGATGAGGTGAGCGAGAGCGGCCGCAGGCTGCCCAGCTCGCAGCACGGCAGGGCCTCCCTACGCTGCCTGCCCCAGTGCCTCTCTACTGGGGAGGAGAAAGCAGACAGGTACTGGACCGAGTGGGAGGAAGCAGCAACTGCATGGTGGGCAGAAGAAGGGAGCTCGAAAAAGCGAGGAGGGACCCAACACTGGCAGCTGCACCTTTACCATGCCAATGTCTTGCTGCTACTCTGAGTTAATCGTCTTTGGGAACTGCACTGGGAGAAGACAGGACCTTCCAGGTCTTCTTCCTTTGCCCTGGGGCTATTTCACCCCACATGTTCTTAGAAGCAAGCATGGACAGTACAATCACCATTCATTCCTCAGTGGTGCTCATCCAGTATCCCCTGCCACCTGCAGTGGGACGTGATGGTAGATGGTAAATGGTAGTGGCAGAGACTCCAGGAAAACTCAGCATGACGCACAAAACCTGGGTGCTGTTTCCTCCTGTCAACCTCCTCTCTCCTGAGCCTTTCTAGGATCAGATTCTGGAGTGGTCAGGGCTTGTAGGCCTGCTGCCATTCCCACCTGGAGCAAAGCTGCTGCTGGTGCTGCTTCTCCACTTACAGTCACCCATTTTTTCTAACATGTGCAGCCCCTAACGTTTGAAGGGCACTCATTTAAAAAAGGGTGTTGGGGGAAGGCAGGTGGCTGCTTGTGGCCAAATGGTCCTGCTTCGAAGTACATCAATGTCACGCCCATGCAATGTTGGACATGGGAACAGCAGAAGGGAACAAGGTAAGTCATATTCTACTATCTTGGAAGTAAATTCTGATCACTGAAGGCCAGAAAAGTTACTTTAAAAAGTTACTTGTTAGTTTTCTCCATGAGCTGTTCAATTCCCAAGGTGCACACTCCAATTCCCCTGAAGCAGCTGTTCTTAGATTTGTAGAAACCTCGACTCACCAAAATCAATTACATCAACTTTAATAAACTTCCCGATAGAGACAGTTAATCAATTACCACTGTTTTCATCTGCCATAGGGGTTCTGCAGCTGTTTTTATTTTAAAACAATCCACTACTAAACCAGAATATGCAACTGGAATGAAGCATATTAAATCAAGATGAACGTTATGTGTGTAGAACAATCAGTCTGTAATTTTACCAGGATGATGAACTACCCTGTTATCCCAACTACTGCTGAGCCTGTACGCACATCACAGAAAATCCTCTCACAATGGCACTGGGGCTTGGAGTTACTCTGCAGCCCAGGCTGCCGAGAAGTGCATGCCATACACTTCATTAGTAGTAGGGAAGTATTGTTTGTAACTCTGTAATTAAGATTTTTGCCTGAAAAATGCCTATTTGCAGGATGTTAGCTTTCTTGCTCTAGTTTTCAACTTCAATAAATGTTCGTGATAATAATGCATTGTACATAGGGATTTCTATTGCTTTTCTTTAAGCAAAATTAATTATATTTTAAATACCTCTGGCTCCTTTTTTCATTTGAAAATGTGAAAAAGTTGCATAGGCTTAAGACTAAGAATTCAAAGCTAATATTAATTTCAAAAATGACATATTACAAGAAATTAATGCCTAATATGAACTAATTGTTATTGCCGGGGGGGGGGGGGGGGGGGGGGGGGGGG